CGGGGCCCCGGCGCGGGGACAGCCTGGGGCGGCGGCCGAACCCGCCGAGTTCATCCGGCGCGCGCTCGAGTTCAAGAGCCAAGGGGCGCAGTGCTACAAGGACAAGAAATTCCGCGAAGCCATCGGCAAATACCACCGGGCGTTGCTGGAACTGAAGGGGCTGCAGCCGGCCTCCGGGGAGCGGGAGCGGGACTCGCGCGCTGCCTCCCCGGCCGGGGTCCCCAACCCCAGCCGCCTCTCCGAGGAGCAGAGCAAGACGGTGGAAGCCATCGAGATCGACTGCTACAACAGCCTGGCAGGTGAGCTGCGGCGCGCCGCGCACCCGGCCCCTCCTCTCCCTGCCCGGCCGCCTCGGGCCCGGCGTGGGTCCCCATTCCCCGGCCCTGTCCCTCCCGGTCGCAGACGTCCACTGCGGCGCGCCCGCCACGCGCACTCCCCCACCGGGACCGTTCTGGTGTGGAAGGGACAGCCTCAGAGGGAGGCGCTTTGGAAAAAGTGTGACTTTTAGAATGATACCGTCCAAAACTCGTTGTCATGCCTCGTCCCTGCCCGCGCAACCATCGTAAATCCTCCCCCAGCCCCTAAATAACTGGACCGACAGCTGGTCTAGCGGGAACTGCTACTACTACCGCTCGCCAGTGGACCCGGGCCAAAATACGGGGAGCAGCGCACACGGTGGGCCACCGCACCCATCCACAACCAGTGGGCGCTCCTCTCAGGTGTCACTGACGCCAGAGCTGGAACCTCACCTTCCCTACGACTGACCTGAGTAAGGTCCTTTCCCAAGTTCCTTTGGCCCCGGGAGCACAGGGCATTTTGCCACAATGCTTTCAGCATCTTAAGCAAAATGGATTCCAAAATGCCACTTTCTTCTCTCTGAGCTCTGGGGGGGCCCCGGTTGTCAGGTGGAGAGGGGAAGCTAGTCGGAGGCTGCGCCGGGAGCTGTGCTACCTTCTTTCTCTGCCCTCAGCTCAATCCGTGTAGCATTGGTCCTTACACAGCTGGATCTAGGTTTGAGGCAAAAGGGAACCTTCTGTTGGGATGCACTCCAGATTTCACTTTGGGGATTGAAGTGTAAGTCAGACACTTTTTTTAAAATTAAACTTTGGCATGAGGAAATTGAAAGTCTCTAAAAAAGGAAACGTCTGGGGCTTTTCAGGACTGTCTTGTGAGAAGGTGGAAGATACTGACAGAGATGATGGCTTTATATTAAAAAAAAAAAAAAAGGGCTTTTTTTCTTTTTTTCCCCCCCTTTTTTGGTGGAATTTTGGCCTGGCCCAGCTCCTCTGACCAAATAAAAGGCCTTCACTCTTGAAGCCTAGCCCTTGAAAACTGCCTCAAGTAGCTCTGGGCAGGTGAGCAGAGGGGGATGGGAGAGTGCCTGGGTGTGACTGGAGATGGTCTTCGCCTCTGGGGCCTGGGCTCAGCTCCTAAGTGCATCTCTGCTTGTTCCCTTTAAGATTCCTAGTGCCAACCCTCCTCTGCTTTCCCATAAAGCCACGGCCAGGATCATCCTTAATGAGGCAAAACCCAGGCCAGCGAGTCACTTTGTAAATTGTAGTTTACACACTTCAAGCATTAATAGTAATAGTAGCAGTTGTAGAAAAGGGGGTGCTGATAGAGTACCAGAAATATCAGCAGCAGATAAGGGAATCGTACAGCAAAGATGGAATATTTCAACCCATCACAAGATACAGCTTGATTCCCGTTTATTTCCTGTAAGTCTCTGGCATACTTCCTACTGCCTGATGAATAGTTAAAGGGCACAGTGGCCCTGGGTGGAAGAAGAGGCACTCTGGATCACTAATGCAGCCTTCGATCTAACATTATTCATGGGCATTCTAGGGTTGCCCTTTCTCCCATGCTTTTGGCTGCCAGCCTATGGCTAGTATTGCCTATCTTCTACCCCAGAAGTGGTTACATTTTCTACAGTGAAACCAAAGACATGGCCTTGGTCAGGCCTCATCAGACAGAGTGGGGCTGAGATCTGGACAGCTGCTTCATCTCCATCACTGCCCTCCCCAGGCCCCAACACACACACACACATTTTGGAAAACTTCAGTGGTAACAGAATGGAGAGTAACAATAACAGATTTCACCCTCTGCTGCTTTCATCAGTGTTCACCACTTATTAGTAATTTTCTGTGTGTACAGTGCTAGGAGCAGTGCTGTATACATTGTGTTTTTCAACCTTTAAAATAACTTGATGAAAGAAATGTGATCGTCAGTTTTGCAGAGTAAAAAGCCCTGAGCTTTCAGAACTGGTCAACTCCAAAATCAGTATTCTTGTCATCACACCTTGATGCATGGTCAGTGTCCTCTGGGCCCCGTCTCCACTGAGTCCTGCTTCAGGTGGGCTCCAGATGAGCTCTACAGTTGGAAAAGGATTATGGGGGATCTCAGCCTTGGAAACCAGGAGAAAGAAATACTGTGCCTTGATTCAAGACCCTGCTGGGGCTAGCTCCCAGTATGGTAGGTTTGCATAAGGAAGAAAAAAGTGCTTATGAGAAAATGCCAGAGAGCTTAAAGAAGAAAATACAGAATTACCTCTAACCCCACCACCACAAGAATTCCATTGTGATGTGTTTCCTTCCTGTATTTTTTTCTATACATAAATATAAAATATTTATAAAACTCAGGGCCTCCTGTGTCCTTTTAGTCTCACCACTGTTATGTCAAAACATTTTTGCAATTTCATTAAAATATTTTCATAAAAATTATTATATATGGCAATATAAACATTTTTAATGCATGTTTACAATTATCATTTGATGGAAAAGGAAGGAAAGATGATCACGGCTGTTTGTTGTTAGAGCCAGAACAGTGCAGCCTGGCCCACAGGACAGACTCTCCTGGTGCCCTCTAAAAGGAAGGAGACAGCGACTGCAAGTGCATTCTGGCAGAAAGGCAATGACCCTCACATCAGGGCTGCAGTGCTGGCTGAGCAGCCCAGAAGCTACAGGCAGGAACAGCCTAAAGATGTCCCCCCAGAATCCTTCTAAATGGCTGTGTATAGAAGGTGAGGTTTGGTTTCAGAAGGGACATGGATGAACCCAGAAGTCCCTGGAGGGTTAGGTTTTGTTGCTAAGGACATCTCAGCACCAAACAAAAGGCTATTGTGAAGTTTCTAGAGAAAACCTAGATTTAGTGGACTCGTGTACTTGGCAAGCAAGAGCCAAAAGAATAGTAAGGCAGCAACTAGGGTACTAAGAGATGTTAACTAAAAGCCCATTCAGGTGGCTTGAGGGGACCACATAAAGTCTGTGCTGGCAATTTGCCCAGTGTTTGCGGTTATGGTGTCTTCTGGCTTGACGTTCCTTCTGATTATGAGAGATCTAGCCAGTGGTAAAAGACCCCTCGGTGTGATTTTATATATCTTATTCTCTAGGCAATCTAAAAGAAGAATGGGAAGCATCTTGACCCTTCAGAATTTCAAATGATTGATACAATGTGAAAATATATTTTGGCCTAGTTGGACAGATGTAAGAATCTCACCAAATCTGCAAAAGAAGGATGTGTTGGCTTGTTGATCAAGTCCTTTGACCTTGAACAAGACAAGGACTCCCTGAGGGCTAGGGATGTTCTGTGCAGAACCTCTTGTAGGATACAGACTTTTATTCTATATCTGTTCCTATAGGGTTGGGTAACCCCAACTAGGATGGGACCAAAAGGTTGTAATACAAAATGATTTTGTTAGCATTTCCAAATTATGTTTGAAATTTAAATACCAGTGGAGGTGGTCTCAATGGGCCTGACATTGTGGCTGAAAGCTAGATGAGGGTCAGTTTATGCCCATATGCCTGGCTTATCCTGCAGCTTCAGAGAAACCCCTATATATCAATTTACCACCATTTTTCCCATACAAATAGAACTATGTTTGACGATTTTATTTTGTTTATTTATATTACAAAAGAGATAGATACCCATCCTCAGTTGAAGTCCTAAGTCAGGGCCACGACAAAGCCTAGAGAAGTCACTTTGGGAAAGGCCTAGGATGTGAACCAGCTTTCTCAGGTCTTGCTATATAACCTGAGTTGACAGCCAACATGTGGACATGTCTTGAAGCTATGTGACCAGAACTGGCTACATAATTTGTGGGGCCTAGTACACATGAAAATGTTCAAAAAGTAGGGGACTGTGTCATTAAGATCTTAAAAGATAGTGGTTTTTCTCTTCTTTCATGGGCTCTCTCTTGACTTGATATGGTGTTATTATTTGCTATTTAATGCCATTATGAGAAAGTTAACATTTTAAACTATTGGATAAAGTTTACTGTTTGTCTTTATATTATGCAATGTGAGTTTTAAATGGAAATTTAAGAGCACTTAACTTATATGTAAAAGCATAAATCACATTTTGTAGATTATACATGCATGTGATGGTTTTCTTACAAGAGTGGAGATGTTGATATAAACAACTCAACTTTTTATTTCACTTCTTTATATGCATACTTTCTACCATGTTGACTCTCTGTGGATGACTCCTTCTATGTCATCATTTTCAGCAGAAGTGTCATCTTTTATAGGGAAGTGTATGAATGAGATAAAATATGAGGAGGGGTTTTAGGTCATATGTGTATGTTAGAACACTATTTCTTTTTTTCACATCTAAAGTAATTCTAAGTTGAACGAAAAGCATGGGTTCTTGGAGCTGTCAGTAGACCTGCTGTCTGATAGAATGAACACTCTCACCTTGTGCTTGAATTGGACCTTGCTGAACTCTCATACATTGTGGATCCACTAGAATTTTGTGTTCAAGGGACATAATGAATGCTGTATGCAAGCAGAGTTGGAAAGACTGGTTGTGTCTGCCTCCCCTGTACACACTCATGTTCCATTATCCCATGGGCTTCACTTACAAAAGAAAAATCAAAGATAAAATTATTAGGAACTTCAGGAAGGCAAGAGAGAGCATTAAACCAAATTCAGGGCCTCTGTGAGCTTGGGTCCTATGCAACCGCATGTATTACTCACTCTTAAACCTGGCCCTCAATGGAACACCAGAAGATGACGAGGTGGGCAAAATTAGATATAGACTCTGAGGAGATTCAAAGACAGAGAATGTTCAGTTTAAACTGATCTGAACCAGAGAGGAAAAGGAACAAGATAGATGAATTATAAATACAAAAACTAGGTGGTGAAAAGAAGGTCAAGAACTAGAGACAAGCAGTAAACTGGCAGCCAAAAGATGAGTTGTTGGGGTAAGAATTAATCAGAGGAAGGGGAAAGAAGAGGATCTTCATCTTAAGGTGTTCATCAGAGAGACACCGGTTTAAGAAGGTGGCACAGAAAGAACTTGA